TAGTTTTTGAGGTCAACTACATGGAGAAGGTTCTAAGTTCATGTCCAGGGACCTCTGTGAGTATGCTGGGCACATGTACGTTTTTGGAACTGGCTAAGACTCAGAGTAGATCAATGTAAAGACCTTATTTGGGGGACTATCTCTCGTGCACTCATTCTCTGTCTCTCTTACTCATGGAAGAAATCAATAAAAAACTTAAAAGATATATAGGACACCCATTTAAATTAGAATTTCAGATAAATAATGAATGCTTTTTTGTATAAGTATATCCCATGCAATATTTAGGGTATACTTATCCCATGCAATATTTAGGGTATACTTATCCCATGCAATATTTAGGGTATACTTATCCCATGCAATATTTAGAGTATACTTACACTAAATATCTTTGTTGTTCCTTATTAGAAATTCAAATTTAACTGGTATTTCAGCTGGCAACCCAAGGCACAGGGAGATACAGTCAAGGATGGGTTTGGAGTAAGGAGGATGGTCTCAAATCAGGCCCCCTGGGTTTAAATCCTGACCTGCCACTTATTAACCCCACAGCTTCATCAGGTTAGTGGAAACAGTCTGGGTTTCCTCTTTTGTCTTAATAGCAGCTACCATATAGGGCTGGTGTGAGGATCCACATGAGAGCCCTCCGAAAGCCCTTAGAACAGAGCCTGGTGCACAGCAAGCACCCAATATCGACTTCCTGTTTTTAATATTATTGAAGCTGGGGGAGCAGAGGAACTGGAACAGCTTAGACAACCGCTAGCAGTGTGTCTGAGACAGCAGTTATCAAATTCGTGGGTCTCAGAAACACTTCATGTTTAGAAAAATCATCGCAGACTCTGAGCTGTTGTATATGGGTTTATCAATATTTGCTAACAGAATTAAAGCTGTGAAAACTTAAAATATTGACTTGTTAATTGATTTAAAAAGAATGTGAATGGACCCATTCGGTCAACATACACAATACATCGTTAGTGGAAAAGTAGCCCTATGCTCTAAAATCAATAAAAGAAAGTAAACCTTGGTGAAAAAAGTGGCTTTTAGCCAGCTGGTGGCTCAATGATAACACTGTGCTCTGTGGTGCTGGACTCACATGGAAAGGTCCCAGGTTCATGTCCCAAAGCCCTCCTGTACATGCCAGGCACAGGTGCACATACTCATATCTGGCTTGCTAAGGCTGGGGGTGGATTGTAGCGTTTGGACCCTATTCGGGTGCCCCGCCATCTCCCATCTCTCGCTGTCTCTCTCTCACAGAAGAAATGAATGAGCTTTAAAAAAATGGCCTCACTTTATAGTCTTGCAAATTTCTTTATTGAGTGGCATCACAGAAGTCAGCTAGAGTCTCACGTCTGCTGCCATATTCAGTCGGCCGTGATATCACATGGCTTGTAGCCTCTGGGAAATTCCACCCTCTCTGGGAGAACACGAATCTGGAAATTCAAACACCTTTGTATTGCTATGAACATACTTTTGACCTTTTGATGTCCTGAGCCCCTGAGACAGGCCCCTGGTCTATGCTTTGAGAATCATTAAAGGCTGTTTCAGGCCAAGGCTTCTCCAGCCCATGGGTCAGGGGCTGAATCTAGACTTGCAGTTTTGAAGCAGTGCAGGGTGGGGTCAGTTGATTGTGGGTATTTGCAGCTGCTGTCTGATCTGATAGCACTGAATAGGCATGCCTGGGATCATCCCCTGTACTTTATTTAAGTTTTAATTGCCAGAGGGCATGTGCACTTACCAGCAAGAGAGGAAAAGAGAGAGGGGAAGTAGTTCCTAGTGGGGAAGCCATCTCTAGTGGGACTGCAATCCTTTTTTTTGCTTTTCCATTTCTCCTTTCCATTAGGACTTTGGCTAGACACACACGTGCATCTGGCATGTTTTTCAAGCCGATGGAGCCAGGATGTGAATTGCAGTTGGCCATGTGGGATCCAGTTCCCTTAATTTCTGTGTTACTGGGTCAGCCCTGTCCCTGTACTTTATAGTGAGGACACTAAGGCTTAGGAGGTAGAAGGGCCTTGCCCAACCTCCCCTCACTGAGGTGGAAGGGCTAGGTTGGAAACCTGGGTTTTTGGCTGAGAGCAGGAACTTTGTGGCTGTTTGCTGCTCTGTGTGAGGCAGGACAAGAACCTCCTTAGGGTGCCTCTTCTAGCCTCAGAGGTGTTCTGTTCACAGTCAAGTGTCTCTTGCCTGGGTGTGACTTCTCTGATGCTGGGGATGGGCCCAGGGGCCTCTTTACCCTCCATCAGACCCAATACACACACACACACACACACACACACACACACATACACACACACGTGAACACTGGAGCCAGCCACCGAGCAGGTGCTACAACTACTGATGGCCTGTGAGAGTCAAACCATGGCTTCCCAAGTAGACAGGTTAGCCCAGCCTCTACCCTCATCCCAGGCTGTGGCTTATGTCTGGGTGGGTGTTCATCATGTGAGTATGACCCTGTCTCTTTGGGGTGATCTGTATGCATCTATGGGAGTCTTCGTGAGGATCTCTCTGGGGCTCTGGTCACAGCTGATGTATGTGTGCACTTCCGTTTGTGAAGTTCTCGTCTCTTCCTGGGTTTCATGGGTTCCTCTGGGTCTCTTGCTCAGTGTTTGTGATGACGGGTCTGTGACTGTGACTGTGAGTGTGTGTGTGTGTGTGTGTGTGTATGCACACACACATGGTGTGACACTTTCTTTGGGTCAGAGACAGCTTGACATCTTGGGGGCTAAGCTAGGGGGGCTTTAGTTCTCTTCTTGTTGTCTCCAGCACATTCTTTCTGGGGCCAGGAATGTTGTCATGGCAACAAGTTGCTGCCCTATCAATGGAGCAGATGTGCCTGTGACCATGCCGAGGGGGCTGATCTGTTTTGGTATCCCCACTCAGCCTCTGAGCAGGCAAGTAGCCCTCAGGACTGGCCCCCTTCTTGTCCTCCAGTTCCTCCACTTCAGATTTAGTCATTCTCACGGACCCAGCTGCCCTTGCACTGGCCCCATCCCTCACCTGGACGGCAGGGGAAGACCTGGGGCGAATTTTCTGAGGTCATGTTTATGTAAATACCAATAAATGGTCACTTGGGGAGGCTGGTCAGAATTTCTCTCATTCTCAGATGCCAAAGAGCCCAGGAGCAGTGGGACTTCAGGACGGAGTACTACCCAGCTCATGTGAGGCATTAGAAATTTTCTAAGGCAGAGCTAAAATATGATAAGCTTCAAGAAACTCCCATGTGTTTTCTCTTCACCTACTTACCCACCCACTCACTCATCCATCTACCCACTCACCTGTTCTTTCATCCATCAACCCACCCATCTATCCACTCATTCCCCTATCTGTCCATCCACCCACCCATCCACCTACACATTCACTACCTATCCATTCATCTATATATCTACAAACCCATTCATTCATGCACCACTCCATCTATCTACCTACTTATCTATCCATTTATCTATCCATCCACCCAACTACTTATCTACCTATCCATCCTCCCAGCTATTCATCCATCTACCTATTCACCTATCCACCTATCCATCCATTACCCATCCACCTATTCTCCTATTCATTTATGTATCCACCCACCCATCTACCCACAACCTACCTATTCCATTACTCCATTCATCTGCCCATCCACCTGCCTCCTATCTATATATCCATCTGTTGGTCGCTCCACCCATCCATCCATCTACCCACCCACTTACTCATTCACTCATTTATCCATCCTCCTGTTTACTCATCCACCCACCTATCTACTCATCCATTCCTTTACCCTCCATCCCTCCATCCATTCATTCCATTATTCCTTCACATTTTCATTCATCCAGACACCCAAGTAAAGAAGAAGGAAAAGACAAGGTCAAAGAGAAGAAATCAACCAACCATCCAACTATTTTTATTTGTCCATGCTGTGAGTCAGGCCCAGCACTGATGTCAAGGAGTAAGACGGGTTTTGATGCTGAGGTGCTCCCAGCATGTAGAGCCGTGGGGCTGTAGTCTCAGAGGTATCTGAGTTTAACCAGTGGGTATGGGGACAGAAGTCAGGGATGCCATCTCTTGGTGGCTCAACACAATCGCAAAAGGTCCCTATCTTCCTTACTGCAAGCCCTCACCTGCTAGCAAAGACTCTCCGGGGACATGCTGGGAACCAGCAGATGCACAAGATCACAACTACATGCACATGGGCATTATTCATCTCCTACATGCACACATGAGCACATAGACACACACACAGACACACACACACATGAGCACATGGAAGGTGCTTCAAGGTGCAAAGTCACATGACTACTCCAAGAATCCCTAATGTTACACACATGCACCTTCGTGGAAATGCATATGAACACATATGAGAATACCCGCAGTCTCCTGGAGGAGAGCTTTCCAGGAGAAGCGTTGGGCTTAGCTGGAACCAAAGCAGAGAGGCCTCACCTACACCTCTCCCTGCCAGTCTGCCCCGGGAGCATAACATCTAGGAAGCCCCACTGGGCCAAGATGCTCATGGGCCCCTCCCCACACCTGATTTTCTGCCTCTTATCTAAGGATTGCACTTCACCTCCCAGGACACAGGCAGTGGCAGGGGTGTCCTGGTGAGGAACAGGGCTCCCTGAGCTGCCCTTTGCCCTGTGACGATGGTTGAGTCCCCGTGATGGTTACACAATGCCAAGGGCTGGATCCACCAGCCTCAGCAGCCCATCACAAGGTCACCACTCAACAACCCTGCCCCAAAGGGTCAGCTTAATAGGCTGAGGCCAAGGATTTTTTTGATTTCTTTCTCAGTTGATACCAATGGCTCCTCAGCCTTGGGCATTCAGGGCTGCTTCTGCCCATTTGGCAAATAGAACCCAACTGTGTAAGGGTCCCTACAGGGCCTGATCCTACACCCAGGCCTTGCCCCTCCTTACCCCAAGGTGAGTACCAGAATTAAGAAGAAGCACAGGCCATGTAATGATACAGGCAGACTCGATATAAATAAAATATTCATATAAAAATAGTTTCTTACAAAATATTCTCTCTTATCCAGTGGCTCACCTTCCAAAAGATGGAAACTGCTGGGAGTTTATTATTTTTTTCCTCTCTCTCTCTCTCTCTATTCCAAACAGGATTTTTCTAATAGCTAAACTTAAACCAGGGAGGGCAAACGATGGGACGCATTCTGGAAAAACATCTCAAATCGGAACCAGCTTAAATTTCTGGATAAGTAGCAGCAAACAGCAAAAAAAAATATAAATGTGTGATATAGATATCTATATATGTATAAAGAATGCCTGCTCTTGTACTTAAACAGCTAGTGCTGCAAGGCAGGGTTACTTGCAAAATCAACTAGTAGAAATATCTGCATAAAGAATACTTATGTACAGTTCTATTCGGCTCCGTGTCCTAGGGACAATATCATCCTGCCAGGAAAGCAAGCAGTCCACTTGGATTGCGGAAAACGGATCCTGACGAGGTGGAAGAATTCTTTTTAATTAAATAAATTAATATTATTTTTTTATCAGAATAAATTGTTAAATATTGCTATGATGAAGCCCAAAGGTTCAGTGTTCTGTTGCGGAAAGCTTCGCTCAGCCGCGGGGAGGGACCTGGGCTGTGTCTCAGGGAGGGTGGAGCAGCATTGGGTATGGAACAGAACAGTAGAGGGCTCTGAGAGATTTTCCACAGGCATCTGCAGGAATCCCTGCAGGAGTGCCCTCCTCAGCAGAAAAGACAACCTCAATGTTCATGCACTTCCCTGTTGAAATCTAGGCAGTGGCCTGCCAGGGAGAGTGCAGCTTGAAAAATTGTCCGGTCCTCCTGGCTGTGTACTTGCGCGGGAGGGCAGGGCGTGGCGCGGCCTTGGGCTCACTTGCATGTGTACATCTCGGTGCGCTCGCTGCACGTGTTGCACTTGACGTAGCAGCACCAGTGGAACTTACAGTTGCACTGCCACACGCGGGCATACTGGTGGGTGTTGTAGCCACGCCCGCAGCACATGAGGTCGCAGCCGCTGGCCTGGGGGGCTGTCTTGTTGCAGGCACGGCCTTGCGTACCCACGCTGCCTGTAACTGGGTCCTCCTCACAGTAGTTGGGTGACTTCTCAATGTACACCAGGTCTGTATCCATGGGCTTGCGGTAGGACAGGGGCTTCTTGATCTTCAGGAACGTGGGCCGCTTGTTACGGCTGGCACGCACTGGCTCCACGTGCACCGCCTCATTGTACTTGTCCTTGAGCACGTAGCCCAGCTCCCGAAACTGTGGCAGTGTGGTCCAGCACGTCTTGGTGGTGCATGAGCCGGACACGCCGTGGCATTTGCACTCCAGCTTCATGTTCTCCTCCAGGATCTACAGGGGTGGGTGGAAAAAGCACAGCACATGTCACTGCATGCAAGGACCAACCGCAGTCCCCAGCCCAGCCGGGCACTCGGTGGCATCCCCAGCCGCTGCAGGTGACTCGACTTCTTTCTGGTGCAAGAACCTCAGACCTCAATTCCAGCCCCTCTCACCTCTGGCCCTTGTGCTAGACCTTCCACCTGGAACGCCTTAGCCCTCCCTGCCTCTCACCTACTGTGTGGTCCTACGGTGCCAAGTCCAGTCTACACATAGGTTTTCCTTGGCCTGCGTGGGTTTAACATAAATGTTGAGCCAGTATTTAAAATGCACTTTAAAAGGCAGACTTCCTGGGTCAACCTCATAGTGCAATGATTAAGTGCTATGCATAGAAAGCCAGATCCCACATAGCTGATAGCAGCTGGAATTCCAGCCCAACAGCTTGAAAAACATGCCTCGTGCCTATGCACATGTGCCCAAGACCTGATGGAATGGAGCCATGGACGAGAAAGGATTATGGTGTAACTATGCCCCCACTGGGGGCTGCTTTCTCGTCCTTCACTCATGATGAAACATATTCACCGACAATAAGTGAATAAATAAAAGACAGACTTCCGGGTTTTCTTGGCAAAGGAACGAAGGGCATCTGGCAACGCTGGGGTGATGTTCAACATATTTAATAGCTGATGCAGCTGCGCACCGACCTACCGGCATACAAGCAGGCTCTAAAGTCCGAATCACCGTCCCACTGTGTTCCAAGTCACGTTGCCACATGGCAACAACACCTGGAGCCACACCAGCAGCTGTCTGCTTCACAGACTGGCTTTGCTGAATTTGCCACAGTCCTCACCACTCCCCATGGCCTCATTGGCTGAGACCACGTGGAGGAGTCCTCGGTTCATGTCTGGAGTCTTCCTGCATATTCTCTGTGTGCACGTTGTGTCCAATGCTCTGGGCCAACGGAGGCTTGGAGTGGACCAAAGCCTGAAGGCCCTGCTGAGGCTGCCTATCACTCTCTCTCATGGAAAAAAACAATAAATAAACTTTAAAAAAAAAAAAAGAATACTCATAGCAGCAGTGCTCATAATAGCTCCGCGCTATCACCATCAGATGACCACCTATGGTCAAATAGATAAAGGACAGGATGTGCACCCGGTGAACTGCAACAGGGCAGTGACAACAAACAGCTATAACAGACTGCCCCAATGGTGACAAACTCTAGGAATATAGGATGGAGGGAGAGAACCAGTTTGCACGTAATGATTTCACTTATATTAAACATAAGGCAGGAAAGACCAGCAGTTAGTGTAATGGCTATGTTGCTGAACTCTCATGTAGTCGACCGTGGTTCGAGGCTTGGACCCGGTTGCTTAAACTCACGCCTGGTGCATGTGCGTGCGTGCGTGCCCAAGATCCTGAGAGGAAAAAGGAGAAGAAGGGATTGTGGTATGGCCATCCCCTCTGGGGGTGATTTCTCACTTTCTGTCTCTCTGTCTCTCTCTGTCTTGCTGGCAAGCGCATGCATCCTATAGCAAAAACCTCTCCAAAAAAAAGAAAAGAAAAAATATAAGGCAAGAAAAACTAAATTGTATTGCTTAGAAATGTGTAGAGAGGGAGACAGAATCAGAAGTAAAAAAAATGAGAATCATAAATATCAATACAAGGTTGTCCCTGGTTTGGGGAGGTGGTGTGGTTGATCGTAGTCACCCAGGGGTCTTCTGGGATGCTGGTGATGTTCTGCTCCTGAATATGAGTGAGGGTTGCATGGATCATGCTTTGTAATTATTCTTTTAAATGATCATGGATGTTCTGTGTACTTTTTTGCACATAAGCAGTCTCTCACAATTTATCAAAATGTAATAGGTGTAATGGCCAATGGGAACATAAAGAGAAGCTCAATATCATTAGTCAGCAGTAAACACTAATCAAAACCATGATGAGATAGGACTTCATGCTCACCAAGATGTCTAAAATAAGAAATACAAGCAACTGAGTGTCAGTGAGGATGTGGAGAAAAGAGAACCCTCTTTCACTGCTGGTGAGAATGTGAAATGGGACAGCCGCTTTGAAGAACATTCTAGAGGCTCCTCAACAAATTAAATAGAGAGTTACCCTTTGACCCAACAATTCCATTCCTAAGTGTACACCTAGGAGAAATGGGGACCTGTGCCATTTATCCACACAAACGTTCATGGCAACACAATTCATATACCTAAAATGAGAGGAAAATCCACAAATGCCCATCGATTGATGAGTGAAGAAACAAAATGTAGCATAGCCACACAATAGGATATTAATTAGTCATAAAAAGGAGTGAAATAGGGTTGCGTGTTAAACATGGATGAGCCTTAAAAATACTATGCTTAGTGAAGGAAGCCTGTTCCAGAAGATCACATTATAAGTCCACTTACATGAAATGCCTGGAAGAGGCATACCTATAGGGACAAAAGATAGATTTAATGGGTGGAGAGGAAATGGGGGAATGGGGAGTGACTGCTAGAGGGACAGGCTCTGAGGTGATGAAAATGTTATAAAATCAATTGTGATGATGGATGCCCATATCTATGAATATCTTAAAAAACCATTGAATTGCACACTTTAAAGGTACAGTGCGTGAATGATATAAGAGGGTGCCCAAAAGTTGGTGGAAAATACACATGTGGGAAGGATATGCATGACTTTCAGATGTTCACACTACAACTTGTACTTTAATTCCATTTCACTTGAACTTTTTGAAGTCTCTTCGTACCTCAATAAATTTGTTTTATTAATAAAAGCAACGGGAAGATTTAGTGAGAAAGCAGTGCAATTGCTAGTATGCATTTGCAAGCTAGTGTTACTGAGTATTATTGTTGCAGCGGGCCCAGGGCAATGAGCCACCCAGTGCCAGGCTCCTGGGTTGGGTACAACTGTCCTTCCTGCCCCATGCAGCCTCCCGCACGTGGCCTCCCTCTTCCTCTGTGGCCATTGATGGCCTGAGGCCATGGTGGTATTGAATGGGCCTCTAATCGGATGATATCATCTAACCCTGCAAACTCTGCATTTTGAGAAACTCAGTGATCGTATTATGTCTGCATTAAGCCGAGCATAATCACTGCTGCCCTTGCCAGGGCTGGTCACCCAGACAGGCACCCAGCCCTCTCACAGAGGCAGGGGCCAGGAGCAGAGGGAGCATGTGAGGGACAAAGCTGCATTCATTCTTTGTACCTACCACTCCCAACCTCTCGAGACCAGCTGGCTACTGACCTCGGAGCTGCCTACAGGGACTTGCAAACTGTCTTCCCAAAGAGTCTGAAGTCTCTGCCTCTGTGATAGGAGGCCTGAGATCTTGCAGGCTCTGTGCACTTTCCTAAAGCCTGCCACACACAGGTGCCTAGGCAATGGCCAAGGCAACTCACCAGCAGAGTGCAACTAGACCACCTCACAGCGAGTATGTCCTGGGTCCAAGCAATTGCCAGTAGCATGTTGAGAGTCCAGAGGTCCTGCCAGGCCAGCGACACATCAACCCTACATTGCTGGATGGAGGGGAAGTCTAGAGGATTCTGGAATGAATGATGGTGGAGGAAGGGGGCAACTGAGGGGCTGGGAACAGCTGGCATGGAAGAACGTCAAAATTTTCTTTTGGTGACTGTACTGTGAGTTCTCAGGCTAAAGACCAGCTTCCTAAGACTGCTGGAGTCTGCTCTTTTACCATCCTGTGATGCCAAGATTTACAATGCCAGAGGGAAACATTCAAACAAATAATAAACTCATGAATCTGGTGTCTGGCCCTAGAAGGTCCTTCCAGTGGAAGGGCTTGGCCAGTACAAGGCACTGGTTTGGATCGGAGGGTAGGAAGAAAGATCTGAGACTTACTCCCCAGTTGCCCCAATCTAGGCCTAAAGCAGGATGCCTGTGTCCTCATGATGAGATCTTTACCCCTGCCTTTCAGTTAGCCAGGATCACGTGTGTGTGTGTGTGTGTGTGTGTGTGTGTGCGTGTGTGTGCATGAGCCCGGAGTATTCAGGTTGACCAGGAACTGAACACCCATCTTCTACTGTGTTGTCAAAAAAGTCACGATGCATTTTTATATAGAAAAATATAGAAAAAAATACATCATGACTTCTCTGACAACCTAATATGTGGCCTCCAGCATTCTAGACTGCTGTATTACCACAGTGCCACCATGGCCGGACCCAATTCATCCAATCAGAGAATACAGTTCAATGGTTTTTAGTATATTCACTGAGGTATACGAGCATCACCACCATTCTAATTTTAGAACATTTTCAACACCCCCCCAAAAAAACCAATATCCACTGGCTGTCTCTTCCCGTTTCCCCTCTTTCTAGTCCTAGGTAACCACTAATCTATTCTCTGTTTTTATAGATCTTCCCATTCTATACATTACAGAAATGGAAACATACAAGATATGGCCTTCTGTGTGTCTAACTCACCTTCACTCAGCATAATTTTTTTTTTTTTGGGAGAGGTTTTTGCTATAGGACGCATGTGCTCGCCAGAAAGACAGGAAGAGACAGAGAGACAGAAAGCGAGAAATCACCCCCCAGGGAGAATGACCACACCACAATCCCTTCTCCTCCACTCTCCTCTCTTGGGCATACACACACACGTGCCCTGTGTGAGTTTAAGTCACTGGGTCCGGGACTCGAACCACAGTCAGCTACATGGGAGTTCAACGACATAGTCATTACGCTAACTGCTGGTCCCTCAGCATGATGTTTTCAAAGTTCATCATGTTGTAGCATGCGTCAGAATTTCCTTCCTCTTCATGGCTGAATACTTTTGCATTGCATGGCAATGTCCCATTTTACCTACTCTGTCATCAGTTGTTGGCCAGCAGTCTGTATGGGGTTTCTTTTAGGGGCAATGAAAATATTCTAAAATTCGATGGTGGTGATGGTAGTACAACTCTGTAAATATACTAAAAAACATCGACTGGTACACTTTAAAATGGACAAATTAGGCACAGTCATGGTGTTATAGCAGTAATGCGAGGCTCTGCAATGCTGGAA